ACACACACACACACACACACACACACACACACACACACACAGTGTAACAAGATTCCACCCCCCTCTCTGATTGCAGGTGATCAGAACGCCATCAATGACTTGATGCAGATGAGACTGACTGGTGGAGGAGGAGGCATGATGGCTGAGAAACTGGAGGTGAACAAAGAAGTTTGAAATTAGTTCATAGGCTTGAGCATCAGTTATTTATCTTATATTTGTGATACCATGTTGGGATTATTATTTTTATTTTTACATCCAAACATATCAAACATGCCACAGTTTCTTATGTTTGTTTTTCTTTTCTTTTTTCTTTAGTCCCTGATCACTCAGGCAAGAACCAAGCAAGCAGCAACCATGAGTGAGGTGGAGTGGCGAGGCCGGGTGGTGCCCGTCAAGATCGACAAGGCCCGCATCTTCCTGTTGGGTCTGGCAGACAACGAGTCAGCCATAGCTCAGGCAAGTAGCTTCTCGAAATGCATTTTTGGCATTTCAGATTTTCTTTCTAAGACCTATAATTGACAGCATGCACAAACATTTTTTCTAATTTTACAGTAATGGAAAATTGTCACATAAAAAAGGGCACTAGGTTACAAAACAAACCACCAACTAAAAATAAATTGCAGTATTCAATAGGTACACTATTATATAATAATATAATAACAAAAATATAAACAATAATAAAATGCGCTCGTCTCTGTCTTCACACACAAACAGTCACATTTATTTAGTTATTAAGCAATGATGTTGGGTCATGAACGTGATTCCTGGCTGTGTGTGTCACGTTGCGTCTTGTGCCATGTGTGGCATTTGAACTGTGTCTAAGTGTAAGACTTTTTTTTCATTGTTTTTAGATGGGTGTATCTTAAACTCTGGAGCAAATCAATCAAACACAAAGTGAACTTTAGCACTGTTCAGATCCTAATAACTTCTGATAAGTGTTGGTGTCTATTATTAAATTGTAAATTTAACAAAGGTCAGCAGGAGTGTGGAGAGACAGTGGCGCTAATCATTTTACAGCATTGGTCCATTGTTGAAACCCTGTATTCACATTTTTTGTTGCCACTGTTCACATTACTGAACCCGAGCCTCTCATCTTAACTTCACTGTCTGTTTGTCTGTGTTTGAGTGAGTGACACCCTGGGTGTCTGCCCCGTTCTTGGTAATGCTGTGGCCGGGCAGTGGAGCTGTCCTGGGTCCAAGGGTCCATGCCCAGAGTCTTTTTTAACTGATCTACAGTTATAGCATTTCTCTTGAACCTGCTGGGCCTCTTTCTGACAATGCAAGCTGCGACTATCAGTGTGTTACCTCTCACAGGAGAACAGACAACATTCTCCCTATTCCAAGTCAGTGTATCATCAAACTAATTGTTGAAACTGCTGTGTGCTTTGTCCTCATTGCTTTGTTGCCTTAAGCCCAAATCATGCATCAGCACGGGCGCAGGGTCCAAGTCATTAAACTGTCATCTCGGCCAAAAAATATGACTGCATAGACAGACCAAAACACTTCGAATACAGCTATGTTGTGTTGAATCAAATAGGTACTATCCAATTTAAAGTGGGAAGTTAAAGAATGTAAAACCTCACCTAAATATGCTTTGTTGTGATTATAAAGTGGTTCAGAGTTTGTTCCTCATACCTAAATGTGCTACACATCCTCAGTGTGCATATCCTTCTGCCATCAATGTGTCACCTACACTGCAGGAGTGACAACAGAGATAAGAAGCTGGTCCATAGCTCAAGAACACATTTTACACATTATATCCTTATAACAGTCCAGTTCCTTAAACTTTCAGCAGGTGGCACTCTCTTCTGTACTGTCTCAAATGAACCCTCAGTGTCACAGGATATCATTCCTCCTGGTTTGTCTGAGCCTGAATGCTCAACACACCCTGCAGACACACCCATCACACCCACAGTCACTCAGGTCTCTGGCATGCAGCCTCTCTCATCGCAGGACTGCATTCTGTGCATTTCAGCCCACACATGAACACAGGGCTACACCCAGCAGGTCTCTGAGGACAGATCAGTTTTACCTCCTCTAAACACCTTCCCTTTAAAAGGGACTCTTGGGTCATTGTTAAGCTGAGAGTGGTCATGAGTGAATGCACTTGAAGTCAGTTAGAGGATGCCAGTCGGTATTATAGTTTTTTAATATTTTTGGGCTTAAAGACAGATAAGATCAAAATGATTTATGGTTTAGTGGCCAGCTTGGGTGCTAATTCTTGTCTATTGCTCGAGGCATAATTTTAAACCAACACTGAAGGAGTCGTCCGGTGCTGCACTTAATCTTCAGATTTTAGCCTGTGGGGACAGGAAACGGGTTTGGCTACACACACGTCTTCGAGCCTCGACACCAAACTTCCTTTAGAAGCTTATCTGTTCAGCCCTCCATCTGAACAACAGAGGATGCTCGACAGGTTGAGCTGGTTGCAAAGGGCGTTACCAGGGTGTTGGCACGAGTGTGTGCCTCTACATAACTTCAACCTTCTGGGTGGATGAGAGCAGCCTCATGACACATGTATTATCAGTATCACTGTGAGGAATTTCCTCGTAACATTCTTCCTCTGTGATGAGATGTGGCTTCTCCGCCTCTTTAAAGGTAAAGATGAGTCAGAAACATCAGACATGTCGGCATTCTTTTACAAGCAAAGCATTATTGTGATTATGTCAACAAACACAATAATGGCATTTTCTCCTTTTACACAAATCCCACACAGCCTCCTCAACACAAACATGACATGTCCTGCAGACTTCAGGGGATATCATAGGAACACAGGTCTATTGTCAGAGGAGGGAAAGGGTGAAGAACAATCGAGTCTTTCACAGAATTCTGAACCCTTAAACTCGCCAGTGTCTGATTACTGATAAGTTGTCTGCAGGAATGTATGGGCAACCTGTCGGGCCACATACCTGTGACTCTCCCCCCACTTTTCCACAGTCACATTCCTGCTTTAACTGTTGCTCTTTGTATTCAACTTCTGCAACTTACAAATGCATAAATTAACTGTTGCATCAGGTGTAGGTTATTGTGAAAGTCTTTGTTTCAGACATAATTTCTGGCCAATGTTCGTTACTTTGTTCATCTTTAAGGGTATTGGTGTAACAACAACTTTATTGGACTCTGTAAGTGTGAGGCAACAGTCCACATTCAGGTTTGTTGTCAAAAAAATGAAACCTCGTGTAAAGTACAAGGACCTCCTAAACTAAACACTTTCACTCCCAGAATTCCTTTTCACCATAAAACGTTTTTTTTTGGTCACATGTTTTTAATGTTGCAGTTAAACATATTCACCAAGGTCCATTATAGATTTTATGACTGTTTCTGTTGTGCAGGCAGCTAATGAGGAGACCAAAGAGCATCTCTATGAGACCCTGCTGGCCGAGTGCAGAGACACCATCCAGGCTGTGAGAGAGGAACTCAAGAGTGAGGCGGTAAGACAACATATTTAGGGTTTTATTTTGACCTAATGTCAAAATTATGTCTTTAATTTACAGTTTACCAACACTTATGATTTGTGATGATTTTCATTGTAGAAGCAGCGAGAGAGAAGCTCTGATGCAGACAGTGGTAAAGTGTCACAACTGCAGTTCCTGCACAGGTAAAACAGACTTCTGTCGGATACTGTGTTTTTGCTTGTAAAGCTGCATTCAGGGTTGAAATCAAGTGGCATCATGAACACAAGGAGAATCTTTACAAATGTTCATCTCTGTAGTTTTAAACACGCCCTCACTACAAGTTTAGAAATAAACACACTACAGGATATTTCTAAGATTATTGCTCCAGAGGCAGCAACGCACCTGTCAAAACAGGTTGTTAATGTGATGAGGTATTAATTGTCAGTTATAATATCTGTTAACTGACATCAGCCTCATAATGTTCATTGTTGCTTGGCAGCACCATTAGCTGCTGCAGTCTCTCCAGCTCTCTCATTGGCTTTTGTATTTCTTCTTAGAATGTTCTGGTGTAATCATTCCAATTTAAAGTCCTACATATTAAACACGTTTGATAACTGTCAGGGCAGCCCGATGACTCTGTGGGCAGTAAGGGAGATTTAAGAATGGCACTTTAACCCCTCACACTTCCAGATCACATTGGCACCGACCAAGGTTCCAGACCCAATTTCTCTTCAGATTATCTAGCCAGGCAAATTAGGGTCCAGAGTCCAGATTAAATGCCAACGTTGGACTCTACATACTTTTGTCTTTTGAGGTTGTCACTCTGTCAGACAAGGAGATCATATATTATTGTGGCTCAAATGTTATATCCATTATAAATTCAACTGCCAGCGGTTTACTGTAATTATCATTTTTCCATAAAATTTGGAATTTAGTGAAAAAAGGTCATTGTAATGGTCTCTTTATATTCCTTGTTTTACTGTCCAAAACTCAAAGATGCTGCCCCATCATCAGAATACACAAGAATAGTCCGTTTGTAAATAATTGGCTTTTCTGCTATGGAGAAAAGTCATTTTAATTTAGCTAGTGGTAATATAAACGTATCCAGCGCCCTCTCTTCATCCTCACATCCCATTCTCACTGTCTCTTTGATGGGTGAAAAATAAATGTGCTGCTGTCTCTTCTATCAGTTACCTGACCTACATCAAGCTGTGCACTCTGGTGAAGAGGAATGAGAGCATGGCCCACACTCTTCAGGCAAAACTGAAGGAGCCCGAGACTGACGAGAGCAAGAGGGGCCCCCGTCCTCAGGACCTGATTCGCCTGTACGACATCATCCTGCAGGTAAATGTCTGGACGCTGCATATACCATGATTATTTTTGGCTGCATGCCGGCGCAAGCAATTTCATTTATTTATAGTATTTTAATCATTATAATCAGTTAAAATTTGCATCTGGTTTATTTATTTCTGAAATGTTGTGATGAGCTGGTTTGAGTTTTAATCTGTCTGCACATCTCTGTCTCTCCTTCCCTTCTCTGTTATTTTCTCCAGAGTCTGGCTGAGCTCTCCACCCTGCAGGGTCTGGAGGATGACCACACCTTCCAGAAGGAGGTGTCCCTCAAGACATTAGTCTACAAGGCTTATAGGTCAGACATTTTGATTTGTAAATGTTTTGGCTGCATCTAAACAAAAATATTCTGCCGTACAAAAATCTGAAAGTTTCTTAAGGACAAATTTGAGTTTTTGTGAGGCAGTGTCAAATACTAACCTGACATCTTTGCATGCATAATGTATATCTCTATCAAATGGTGCCATGTAGTCATGTGTTATTACTTAGACACAAAAAACCGATTTTCTGAAGCACCTTCAGCAAGATTCTCTTTGTCTATGACCTTTTTTAAAGTGTCCAAACCTTTATTTGTTTGATACACAGCCACTATATATAAATAGTTACAATTGTTTTGTTAAAGCTGTGTTTATCCTCTGTTTTCCCCTTGCAGGTGTTTCTTCATAGCCCAGTCTTATGTGCTGGTGAAGAAGTGGAGTGAGGCGCTGGTGCTGTATGAGAGGGTGCTGAAATACGCCAAGGAGGTCCAGTCTAAAGCCAAGAACCTCAACAACAGCCTCAAAGTTTGTCAAGCACACAGCAGCAGTTTCAACCTCACAGTTAGAAATCAGCCGTGTCATTAATATCCATTATGAATTTCTGTAGGATCTCCCTGATGTTCAGGAGCTGATTGCAGAGGTCAATGCTGAGAAATACTCACTTCAAGCTGCTGCCATTTTAGGTGAGGACACTTTTTTAACCACCTGATTTCTCGCCAGCTCATTTATGTTTACCGAACAAGAACCCACAAGGCATCATTCTATTCAGCTTCATTCTGTGTATTAATCCTGAGGAATTGCTTGTGCTTTAGACACAGATGAGTCCGCTGAAGTTCCTTCTCAGCTGCAGGTGAAAGACAACAGGGTAAGAGAAATGAATAATATTATCAACATCCTTAAATTCAAAAGAATAGGAAAAAGTTAAAAGTAGTTTAATGTGTAAATGGGTTAATTGGTGTTGACTTCTCACCCCTCTTCCTCCATGCAGCCCCTCTGTGAACGACTGGAGACCTTCCGCCTTGACACCACCCTCGTAGGAAAGCATCCCAATCTGGTCCAGTTCCCCCCTGACTTCCAGCCAATCCCCTGCAAGCCCCTGTTCTTTGACCTTGCTCTCAACCATGTGGCCTTCCCACCGCTGGATGACAAGGTGGAGCAGAAGGGCAAGGGCGGTCTGACTGGCTACATCAAGGGCATCTTTGGCTTTGGCAGCTAAATCAAACCAACCAGGCTTCGGCCCCCACATGAGAACCACAAGACCCAGAGTTTACCACAAGCAACCGGACTTGGGTCAGTTAATGATTAGAATAATTTCCGTAACTTTTATTGTTTTCATTTGTGGTGCCTAAGTGCAAGATATGTGGAGTTGGTGGCTCTGGGGTCTAATCGGTGGGTCTAACCTTTTGAAGAAACATGACAGAAAAGTTCAGAATCAGTTTCAAATAGCAATATGACCCAAGTCCATCTGTTTACCTCTCTTAATAACACCAGGCTGCTTAGGCTCACACATACCAACTCCATCATTAACTTGAGCTGTGTAGCCATGGTCATGATGCCAACAGTGATGTTGTTCATCTCAAAATCTTGTCAGAGTAAACTAAGGTACTTTGGCATCACTGGCATTTTTTATTTTCAGTGTTACATAAGCGCCTTCATTTAATTGTCTTAATTTTTTCTTTCTGTGTGTTTTAGCATTGTTTCTTAAATCTCAAATGTACAAAGAGATAATCTGTGACCTGTAGCTGACAAGGGACATAGTTCTGCTGTGTCCCAGCTTTTTTTTTTTTCCACCTTTACCATTGTCTCTCCTCTTGAACCCCATAAACGCTGGGATTAGTAATCATGAAAATCCAGTAACACAGGCTACACTACAAAAAGTGGAACCCATACATCCTACCCTCTCCCATCAGCCCTCTCGTCAAAGCTCACTCTCAGCCTGACAACTGCTAGAAGCTAACTTCTGGCTATCATCTCAGCTTCAGGGGTGTATTTCTCTCAGGCTTATGAAGACCCCGGTCATGCCATGTGAGAGCAAGTCAGGGTGCACGCAGGCAGGTAGGCAGGTTGATTAGTGACAGGTACGCCAGCCAATCATTTCATTCAGTCCAAATGAATTAATAGGTCGTGTGTATTACAGTCCTGCAAGCTCCATAAAGTGTTGCAGTGACAAATGACCAACCGGACCTTTTACCACATTACCTACGACACTACAGGCCAGTACTGCAACAGGAAAACTACATGACAAGCTGCTAAAAAGCACAGGAAGTAAGATATCTTGACATGTTTGTTGTTCTGTCTTTTGTAATCGGCTCCTGAACCATATAAATTATGAGTGCGGTTATGTTACCTCTTCAAACAGAGAATATAGAATTATGAAAAGAGTTGTCGGAAAAACTGTGATACAGCTCGATTTAAGTTTTAGATGCATCAACAGGAAGATGGAGGACGAAGCCATGAATCAAAGAGTGAAATGATTGTTTTCAAAAAGTAGCTGATTGATTCATTGTTTTAATTTATTAATATCCAAAGCAACTTGTTGTGCTGTTTGTTGTACTGTGTGACATGTTGTATTGAACTTATCATAATGTCAGTCAGGGGTCCAACAGCTTCAGCTCGTGTAGACATCCACACAAAACTCACATTTTTATTACCCCTCTCTACCATTTAAGCCACTTTTTGTTCCCCTACAAAGGATGGCGACCGTGTTGTACCCATACTGAGTAAAGTTCAAATGACTGTGAGTTCTACTTGTTTTTATTTACATTTTAGCCAATTTACTGCAGTGGACAGTCAGGACATGGGGGAGTTTTAAGCAGCTGTTGATTAATCTCACCACCACTGCTCGTCTTTGTCCATCATCAGTAGGACTGAACCAGTTCATGTTTATACTGTTTTGTCATCAGCTGTTTGTCAGTCATGATGTGGATTCACATCATCTCTGTACACCAAAGCCCCTCAATTCCTCTGATCCTTAGGGCACCTGCTTTTCTCTAGCTTAGACCGTTTCACTCACCCACGTTAACTGTTATGCCTGCTAATTTTGATCAATGTATGTTTTTCTTTTCCTCTCCTACTCCTCTGTTTTTTTTGTTTATGAATTAAGATGGAGGTGCTGGAAAGGTCCTGGCACTCAACCTCAAACAGCCTGAGAAACGATTAGTTGATGAATAATTCAGATAATGAGAGAATGTATCATTTGATTTAGTCTCCAGGTCTATCAATAAATATATTTGCACCAAACACATGGTAACTGGGCTCCTTGTGATTCAGACGAAAATGAAGATTCATAACATTGATCTTTGATTATGTTAGAATAAAATATAAAATCAAATCTCAAAATGTTTTGTAAGAAAAAGGGGAATGTCTGAAAGAAAGAAAAGTGTAGAGGTGTGTGTGAGTGCCTTTGGGTGTGGTTGTGTCACCAGGAGTGCGTAGGATGCCATTGCAGGGTGTGAATGTATTTAAGTTCAATTTACGTATATTCATTTTCATGTAAGAATTAATAATTTCGTAGTGAGTCACTGAAACACAACCTGACATGAAAATGGCTTCTTTCTTTTTTTTTTTACACAAAAATTTACAATTGCATTTAATTAACCTGAACTTGACACACACAACAAGCACTCTATAGGGACTTAGCATCTCTACCTTATCATTTACTTCATGTTACTTTCCACACACACACACATATTTGTCAAACTAGAAAAAGAAATAATCTCTGCCTGGATGAACTGAAGATATTTGTGACGTGATGAAGTGGAGTTAAATGCTTATCTGCAGGGGGAAACCAGAGATGAGATACAACACTGCTTCCAGTTTTCTCCATGGTTTAATGTTTCTATTGTCACAATGTCTCATTAATGTGGCTGGTTCATTTTAACGATTGTTGACATAACTCAGATTTCCCCTGTTCAGTGCAAGGGAGACATGAAACGGTCCAAGGTGCAATACAGGCAACAAAGCTTTGTCAGATTTACTAAAACAGACAGCCATGCTGCGTTTGTCTGCTGTGTGTAGTTAAGCACAAAAGACTGACACACCCTCACTGTGTTTTCTTGGTGCCACACAAATAAATTCTTGCCATGTTTATATTGCCCTGTGAACTATGAGTAACTTGATAATGTTTAATTCAGTTAGTTTTGACCTCCAGTAGAGCTCACAATCATGGTCCCCTGAGGATGAATGGTAATAACTTTGGTGATTCTATGATCGTTTATCACTATAATTGGTTTAAAATTTGAATGTGACCTACCAATGACACTCCTCAATTTCAATTGTGACTTGTGTTAATGTCCAAGTAGCTAGTGTTAGCACACTAAATTAAGATGGTTGGCATGAGCTGTGTCTCAATCCAGGGGCTGTATCCTTCGAGGGCTGTGTTTGATGTACGGTTACGTCACAATGGTGTTAGGTTTACTGGCAGGTGACCACTAACGTCAAAGTGCATTACCGCAAAATACCAGGCTGTCTTATTTCAAAGGCTCATTCAAATGCGGCCAAATAATGCTTCCTTCCATCCCAGAGGAACAAAGGCAGCAACAGGTGGATCCTTCTTGACTGAAACAACAAGACGACCAATGCTTCAGTATCAGACTTTAACTCAACTGAACAACTAAGGTTACGTATGATCTGGTGATGCCGATCTGGACCAGACCAGACTGTCTTATTTCAGTTCGTCCTTCGCGGTCTACTCATCCCACAATGGAGGCCATCTTCATGAGGTAGGTAGACTGTTGCATCTTTCGGAGTATGCAGTTCTGTTGACCATAGCAGTGATAAACACGTGGTAAACATTGTCTTTGTGTACAACATTAAGCAGCATTGAGCTTAAAGCTTCTGCACATCAGTTTCAGGCGTTCATTGATTCGCATCTTGTCAGGACTTTGTGAGTGATGTCAATGAATGTGATTGAAAGCTCCAGAATTGCTGATAAATTAACATTTTGTTTTCATTTCTAACATAATTAAAACTGGTTTGTCACCATTTAACCATTACAACACCTACTTGACCACAATGACGTGTTGAGTTAAATCAAGGTTGAAATGTGAGATCAATATTATAATATAAAAATGAAGAGTATCTGTTTTTCCAGACAGGTGGACGCACCCAGAGAGAGAGAGACTGTATGACTGAACACATCAAAAAATGTGTGTTCCCCACTGCTGCTAAGAAAGCTGCTTGGCTGCATTCCTCACCATGATTTCCTTTTGTTGATATGCCACACAGAGACGCCCTGATCCTGAATGACTGGCATGTCTGCAGAAGGTACACACGGGTCTTTGCAAATGCACGGAGCTAACTTAGTTTCTCTCTCCCCTCTCTTCACCTGCATAGTGAAAAATATAATATGTGCCTCTATAGCATTATGTAACAGTCTTCATCTCTCCTCCATTGTTGACTGTATACACTGTGTGTTTGTAGCATCAAGTCTAACTGAGCCCTGGCTTGGGGTTAACACGTGGAGGTTTCGGGGGGGGGGGGCAAGTGTCAACAGAGCAGGTGAAAAACTCAATATTCCTACATTCATCCTTAGAATTTAGAGTCATAAATAATAAAGAGAAGAATGGAAGGGGATGGTAGAAAAAGACCGTTTGGAGGGTTTTGAATCCAGTCACTTTTTAATATTTTGTCAAAAATGACACATTTTATTTAGATTTTTAAATGAGATTTTCAAAAGATGTTGGGAAACTTAACGAGAATAAAGAGGAAAGACAAAAGCTAATTTTAGAAGTATAAGGAGTTTTGCCGCTGTGCAGCCACAGCTGTGTCCGGAGGGGTTTTCAGTTTGTCTTCCCCTTCTTAGAATATAATTGGAGGGAATTTCTTCTGATTTAGCCCAATCATTCAGCTGGACTCAAGGATGAACTCATTACATTTTGTAGGTCAAAGGTTAAGGGTCACTATGACCTCATGTATGTAACATCTCAGGAGTGCAAGGAGGACATTTCTTTAAATTTGGTGGAGAGGTTCACTTGGACTTGGAGATGAACCAGATTGAATTTGTGGTCAAAGGTCATTGTCCCTGTGATCTCCCAAAAGTGGGCTCAGTGATGTATTATAACAGGGGTCACCAACCTTTTTGAAACTGAGAGCTACTTAATGGGTACTGAGTCATATGAAGGGCTACCAGTTCGATACACTCTTCTGAAATAACAAATTAGCTCAGTTTGCCTTTAGTTATATATTATTATTAATGATAAATGATACTCATCTATGTGAAGACACTGATCACATTAATGATTTCTCACAATAATTATCAACAAGGACTTAACAAGGTGGGAAACAGATAATATCAATATTCAACACTTTATTTCTAGTAATCTCAGCAATTGTTTAAGTTTTCAGATGATCACTTCGACAATATTTCATAAGAAGAATTTCCCATTTCCACTAGCCACTGACCAACCCTTTTAACAAATCATAGTCAATAGTCAACTTCAATATGAGAATACAAATTTGACAGTATAAATAGTAAATAATTACATTTAATTAGAAACGCTTATCAAATTTTAGACGTGCCCACGGGCACCATGTTGGTGACCACTGTATTATAAGGTGTCCTTGGGTGTCTAGAAAGATCAATTTTTTAAGCAGATGATTAGGGTTAGATTTAGGTGAAGGATACGTTTAAGATAAGTTTATGTTGGGTTAGGTTTGAGTTCAAGCCTAGGTGTGGATTAAGGTTAGGGCTAGGCAAGTAGTAACTAGGGTTAAGGTTAGAGTAATTCTCCAGGAGCTCAAAGTCAGTGTGTGTGTGTGTGTGTGTGTGTGTACAGCTGCAGAAATCAAAATTCCACTACATGTTCACTGCACACATTATCTAGATGTGAAGTCTCTTCTTGTTTCACTCTAGGAATTTTGTGTTCTTCTAACTCCATGAAGGATGCATCTGTACTAATGTATGGGCCTCTCCTGCTCTGAGAAACGGAAGGGCAGGGCCAAAGGTGGGAGAAAGGGAGAGTGCGGCGAACAAGTCGGTCCGGTCTTCCCCCCCTTGCAAGGTGGATGTCTGGGCGGTGACACACCTGTTCACCTGTGTGGGAGGAGCTGCCAGCACTTAACACTGTGCTGACGTGACTGTGTGTACGACTGAGTGTGTTTGAGAGGAACCAGAGTGGCAGCAGCAGAGTGAGGTAGACACAGAAGGAGTAAGAGAGAGAAGGAGAGATTTCTGTGGGATCTCTGCTTGACCCCCCCCCCGACCTCCAGGATGTTGAAGAAAAAGGAGCCCAAGGACAGTACCATCAAGCTCTCGGGCAAGATCAACAAGTAAGGGATTTTTCCATATGGACTTCATGAATGCTTGTATGAATGTATGTTAATATGTGTGGTGACACTGTATCTCGGTCATGTTCCCCATTCCTCCTGTTCTTCTCCAGCCCGACAACTGTGTCATGTTTCCTGTGTGTGCCTTTGTCCCCTTTTCTATGCGTCCTGTGGTCCTCTTATATTATGGCAGGGCTGAGAAATAAAGTCTGAAGAGCAAGTTTGCAGATTTGAATTCTCCACCGATTTCTGGTGCTGGGTTGTGTTGGGGTTAAATCTCTTTTGCTTTAGCTTTTTGATTTGTTTGCCGCTCCGTGAACAGAGCCCGAGGTCAGGTTTACTTTAAAAACATGAGGTGGGACAGTGTGCTTCAGGGTGAACTAGTGAAACTGTGTTTATGAGTTGAAAGTGACTTTAAAAGTCAACCAGGACAGGCTTGTTGCTGATCAGATTTCAGTGATTTGAAAAATAGTTTCCTCTCAGGACCTGTGTGTACCAGAAGATCAGAAGCAGGCAGTTGGTCTTCATCCAGACTATAACACAAGTGATGTTTTAAACTCACCTACAACCGCATTCAAAAGACTTTGAGATCAAAAATCAAAAGCGTAAAGTGATGTGCAAAGTGTCTAAAATGAAATGCAGCTTAAAGGTTCAGTGTGTAGAATTTAGTGACATAGTGGGGCAGTTACATGTTGCAGCTGAACACCCCTCACTCCACCCTCCCCCTCCAAACATGAAAGATAACCTGTGGTAGCGTTCAGTTTTCATTAAAACTATTAATTATCTAAATATAAAGGACCCATTCTAGGGTAAAAAAAAAGCAAATCTGTACAATTTAGATGAAACACACTAATGACTGATCACAAGGATTATTTTAGATTCAGTTTCTGCCAATAGATCCATGTAACCTAAATCTTACACACTGGACCTTTAAAGCACCGTCAGCTATCTGAATGTGTAAAGAAATCTCCAGGGCCAGATGACTCTGATCTTGCGGAAGGTAAAGCAGTATGCTGACGATACTCTTGTATTCATGGGATTTCTTGGACATAATGTTGTAGCTTTCAACTGAGCTGAAACTGAGTAATAGTTTCCTCTTCTCTGTCCCTTGTGGACACTGGTGTGGCTGCACAGGCAGCTAGTTTCACCTTGCCCTGGTCGTGTTGTCTGCCGAGGTGTGATGAGGGCTGGGCCGTCTGTACTGCTCAGCTGGTTTCTTCCTCTCATGTGGGCGTTGGTCTCAAACTGTACTTTTGGTGTGACACATGTCGCTGCAGTTCATGTGGCCGTTCAGAAATTTCCATCACCTGTCACGTCAACAGTGTAGAACAGGGCAGCGACTGGTGATAACTCATCAATCGCAATGAATTACTTTTTTAATTAATCAATTAACATCAATTCACATCATTTTCACAGAATCCAAAGAGATGATTTTAAGTTTCCTGATTTGTCCACCAACAGTCAAAAACCAAAATATGATCAAAATGATCAGACATTTCTGAAACTGGATCCTGGAGCAAATGTTTAACATTCATG